TTGTAAATCTGTAAAATAGTCTTTTGTCTCTAGTTTCTTTTGGTGTACCCATAAGGTACCTATTTGTGTTGATGATTTGGTTTCTTCTGTTGAGGATCATATTTTGGTGTAGGTTATCTTCTTTTTGGCATACAACTTGCATACACGTGGTTTCCACAAATTTTTAGTAAAGTTTAAATGAAAAAAATAGTTTAGAGATACGTGTGACATTTAGAGAATCTAGAATTTTAGAGATTTCTCTAATTGTCTTAAAAGATAAATTATTGCATACATTATTTAATTTGGCCCAAATTGCATGGAATGGAATATGGATATAGAGGATGCATATTCTATTTTTTCAAGAATGACCAAAAGTAGACTTGTCCTGAACAAGTACATCCGACCTTTTGTCTTGATTCATAGTCAAGAAAGACAGGATCTAAAGGCACACAATTATTTATCTTGACCAACTAGTTTGACATTTAGGTGGTGGTAATGCTCTAAGTATTTAGAAGATATGAATTTTGTAAAATAGCTCATTTTGGACTTATAATGGGATGCTGTTAAGTTTTTTTTTAGTGTGTCTATGAAATTAGATGAATCTTTCTTAGCAAGCCTCCTTACTGGCTGAATAGAAGGTTAGATTCCAGAATGCAGGTCTGCTCAAACAAAGCATATACAAAGATCCATAACCTTAACTTTTCTATCCAAGGGGTATCTTGTGAAGAAGGCCACTTTCCCTGGTGTTCCTATCTCTTCTTAGGCTGTACTGCTTAATAAGTTATGTGGATTGTATGGTCTTCCTAAGAAAGAGAGACACATTTGATTAATAAGTTAACTTCACTAATTACTCTGCATGAAAGGGAAAAAAAGAAGAAGAAATAATCTGCAATTGCAGTTCTTTTTGCTAGATTCTTTATAAGTTTGAAAGAGAGCCCGCTTGAGGATGACAGCTCTTATTATTCTAGCATGTTAGTCTTTTCTTTGTAACATTTAGCTGTACTTCTATTCTTTAGGTGCTATGAAGTTGAGCAAAAACTCGAAGCCAGAGAAAGGCATCCTCTCTATCACAAGGACATTCATATGCTTTATCCAGTAAGTAGTTCTTTTAAGTTTTGTTTTGCAAGTGTTGCTATATTGTAGAATTTGATGATTGAGGAATAACTTTTGCAGACTGAAATTGATGATGTACCTGCTGATACCAAGGATCCAGATGAAATTCTTGAGAGTGAATTTTTTGATACAAGGCAGGCATTTTTGAGCCTTTGTCAAGGAAACCATTACCAATATGATACCCTGCGGCGTGCTAAACATTCCTCAATGATGGTCCTTTACCACCTTCATAATCCCACTGCACCAGCATTTGTGACAACTTGCAATATTTGTCATCTTGACATAGAAACAGGTCAAGGTTGGCGGTGTGAAACTTGCCCTGATTATGATGTATGTAATGCTTGCTATCAGAAGGATGATGGAGTTGATCATCCTCACAAGTTAACTCATCACCCATCCATTGCTGAGCGTGATGCTCAGAATAAAGAAGCTAGACAACAACGAGTTCTGCAGGTGCATTTTCGTTGGCCATTAATATTGGTTGTGGTTTTTTGCTGTTCTCTGTCACTCAACCCCCCCACCCCCAAGCCATCAGTTAAAAATAAGAGGAGAATATTCTCAGAACAGCTCTCCCAGTTCTCAGTGGACTTTATGAGCTTTTGTTATGTCCTTCCGGTTAACGAATGCTCTGGTAGCTTTCATGGATCTAATGAACGTGGTTTTTGAACTGTTATCTTGACAAGGTCTTGGTAGTGTTCATTGATGATATTCTAGTCTATTCATGACCTTTGGGCTAAAGTTGTCTGTCAAGTCACCTTAGTCCAAAAGACTTGTGAGTCGACATAACTTGCTGCGGAGAAGCAACGGAGATCCTCCATCGAAATAATATGATATCTTTTGAGATGTTTCATTACATGGAGACTGTTGATACTTCTCTGGAACATGTGATGATATTCTTTCCACTTTTTAGTAAGATACTAACTAACATGCCTAAAAGTTGCAAGATAAAATGTCACAGAAACAAATCCAAAAATGGCCACCTAACTGGTTCTACTGAAAGTTACAGAAACTATTCAGGTCATTAACTTATATGAACATGTCATCTGCATTTGTGAGTATTCTTTTTGTGCCACAACTACAAGCTCTTAGCATCTGAACTTTGTTCAGAAACTTTTATGAACTCTCCCTGGAGACTTGTATTTGGCTCAGTTCAAAGGTGTCAATTTCAAGTGTAAACTCTTTCTATAGTGACTCCATATCATCAGGTTAAGCAGTGCATCACAGGGTTAGGCATTAACCTCGTGTATCCCTGGTTGTGGTTGTATATGATAAAACATTCCTTTTTACTATGCTAATCTCTTTGTATTCTTACATATGAAGTCTGAAATGATCTTGTGATTTGACTCTGCAGCTTAGGAAGATGCTTGACCTTTTGGTGCACGCATCTCAGTGCCGCTCTTCTCATTGTCAATATCCAAACTGTCGGAAAGTTAAGGGGCTTTTCCGCCATGGTATACAGTGTAAAATACGTGCTTCAGGAGGTTGTGTTCTCTGTAAGAAAATGTGGTATCTTCTTCAACTCCATGCCCGTGCTTGCAAAGTATCTGAGTGTCATGTGCCACGATGCAGGTCAGTTGGCTTTTAATTTTTTTTTATTAGGGGTTGGGGAAGGGGAAGTGGGAATGGAGTGGAAATCGCACTCACCTATTGTGTGGGAGACTCCCACCAATACCACTATGCTATGAGCCTTGGTGGTAGGTCAGTTGTCTATTACTTCCCGGTATAGGTGTTCGCAGTCACTTCTTTTGTAAGGTAAATAATTTATTAATTTTGGGAGAAGCTCCCGTATACAAGTGGGCATTTGTAATCACTTATTAAAAACAACAATTGATAATAGTAATAAACAAGTTATTAAATACTGGAATGAAATGTTTCCGTATGGAGTCAAATGCATACCAAGAATTCATAGAAGCCAAACCACACTAGGTTGAGGTCGATGATGGTAGTAGCAGTAGTAATAGGAATAAAGGTCATTATAGAAGTAAATAAATAATTTTTAATGTTGCTGCAATCCCCTTGACCCCCCTTCCCCCTTCCATCTCCCCTTGGTTTCGTTAATCTCAGTGTTGATATCAGCTAAATCTTGTTCACAACATAAATTGCAACTCTATTACCATTCACACAGAGATTTGAAAGAACATCTTCGGAGGCTGCAACAGCAAGCTGATTCTCGGCGGCGGGCTGCTGTTATGGAGATGATGAGACAACGTGCTGCAGAGGTTGCCAACAGTGCTGGGTGACCATATTGTACAAGTTGTAATGGACATACACAAGGTGTTACCAACTGTACTTGGAGGTATCAATATTTTTGGAAGAAAAGATCTCTTAGTGTACAGGAAACTGCTAACGAGCATACAGGCTTGTTCATTGCTGGTTAACCATCACCTACGCGTTGGTTCTTTCACTTACCCATCTCAGGGTATCTCCACCGTGGACTATTCCTTCACTTGGTCGTCTTTGTGTTATCTCCATTGTGATGCTTATATTATCCAAGTTGCTCTCATCAACAATGCATCTCTGGGAGTGTATAGGATACTGAGCATTCCCCACCCGTAGCTCATAAGTGATTTTCTTTAAATTTTATTCTGTGGAACTGTTGAGGGCAAATGTGCCTGTTTTCCTGATTTATTTTATCATGCATAAAACATTGGGATTTCCTTTTCGTGTTAATAGTTAGTTGTCTTATTTAAAAATGCAAAGTACTTTACAAGTAGCAAGTTACTAGTCCTTACAAAAACTTGTTCTTGACAATTTTTTACCCGATGTGACGATGATATGAGTCGAGCTTAAAGCTGAAATCGATATAATATATAGAGATAATTTCTCATTTTATAGTTGGTTTGGCTATAACTAGCTTAGAATTTAGCAGCAGTTGATGTGATACTTGGTACTTTAGTCCCATGTATCTAGATTTGATTTATTCGATGAGCATATACTACATGCTCCAGTTTAATTCATGTAAACCTATGCTCTAATATTAGCAAATATATTCTTGCAAATTGATAAATTATATGTAAGTTGGTACTCTCCAAAAGTACTTCATACTAAAAACATACATAGGATAACCAAATGATAAACAAGGTGTTTTTCAATTCTCTTTTGCCATATTGTAATCTTGATACTGACAGTCTAGTCTAACGTACGGAGACCTTTGGTTCGCAAATAGTAATCACATGAAACAGTTGCTTTGCTTCATGCGGGAGACATCTCAGGAAGGCGCCTCATAATTGTAGGTAACAAAGCTAAGGTCATGAGTTCGATTCTTAGGAATAACATGATGTGTCTGGCAAGTGTCGGGGGGAGAGATAGTTGGATGATACCAATATCCGGTCTATGGCAAGGCCCTAGTGATGGGTTGGAGATTGCTTGGTTAGAGTCATGGTCAAATATTATGCTTACTTGATAAGTTTTATTAAGAAATAAAATTGCGTCCTTACTATCAACTATTGCTCGTCACAAATTACAATGGCATGTGTTTGCACCTAACTACTGGTGCCTTTTGTCATTTTGACCAAATGGGCAAACTCTACATATTGGAAAACATGTCAATTTGACTAAAAATGCAAACTCGAAGGGTGTGTTCGGTATGCAAGTAAAAGATATTATCACAAAACTACGACTTGTGAGAGTGGGTGGTTGTGAGAGTGGATATGAGACAATGCGACTTGTTTTCTCCAAACACGAGAAATAAGAAAACATTTTCCGAAAAATGTTTTCCTCCTTAATATACCCCTATATATTGGAAAACATATGGTGGAAATGCATACTGAATATAATGCAAACTTAACCTTTTCAGAAGTTCACTTCCTGCAGAGTTTGAATTAACTTGTTGTTAGTGAGAATATGATAAAATCCAATGGAAGAAAACACAAACTAACAAAAATCACAAAGTGTAAAACATCATACTAATATAATCTTAGTCATTGCAATCTTCAAGAGAAACAGGACTAACATTAAACATAGAAGTCAACATTAAACAGAAATAAGGTTAACAAACCAACATAAATGATCTTAAATTACTACATTCATGCAGATGTTATCTGCTTATTCAGCAGAGAGCTTTCGGCGCTTGTACTTCACCATTACTTCACCTTTGACACCGACAACCATAGCGTTCCAGTCAATTTCAGGGAAAGGTGAGATCAGTTCAAACTCGAAATTTCTCAGCAAGTGACTCCATATTGCTTTAATCTGCAGATAAGCAAATGGTTCTCCAAGACAGCCATGCCTGCCTCCACCAAAAGAAATATATGAGAATGCTCCTGAAGCCTTATCTTCTTCTCTGCCAGGACCGAACCTATCAGGGTCATAAGTTTCTGGATTCTTGAAGATATGTGGCAGCCTGTTTGCAAAAGCAGGTGATGTTGCAACGATATGTCCCTTAGGAATGTCGTACTCTTTTCCTTCTCTGGTTGTAACACTGAAATCGCTATGTGAACTACGCAGAAGCATTATCAGTGGAGGATGGAGTCTCAGGGCTTCCTTTATGCATCTGTAGAGGACATCCATCTCGGAAAGGATGTCGTGATCAACCTTATTCCCGTGTTTCTTCATCAAATTCTTCTGTTCATCTACAACAGCAGACATGTACTTGTTGTTGGTGAGGAGGTATGACCCTGTCCAAGTGGAAGTGATGGAACTGGTGTGCTGCCCAGCGAAAAGAGCAGCAATCAGAAGACCTGTGATCTCACCCTCTGTTGTTGGCCGTCCATCTTTGTACTTTGAGTCAATGAAGCATTGTAACATATCATTCTCTGCCTTGCCTGTACGTTTTCTAGAATTTATGATGTTTGCAAAGATCTCCGCGAGCTTCTTCCGGGCATTGTCACGTCGGCGATGAGCTGGAATTGGAAGGTAGGGAAAGATAACACTGATAGGGAGCATCCCATTGTCTAGGTCATGGAAGAGAGCAGACACATCGTCAAAGAGTTTATTGCGGACCTCTTCTCCCAACAGACATCTACTAGCTGTCAATATGATAAGATGCTCCAGTTCATACTTTAGATCTACTTCACCACTCTCACCCCATTTTGAGAAGTACTCCTGCATTTGTCAAAAGGAAGAAAAACAAAGCCAGTCTATCAAATTACAATTATTCAAGGTCTATAAGTATTATACAAACAGTATAAAAGCAATCTGCTATACTTCTTCTCCATCTTAACTAGCATTTGCCGTTTGGCCACAAATTTTGAAAATTTATCTTCAACTGATGTTTGGTCATTATCAAGTTCCAAAAACTGGTCCAGGCTGGTTTTTGGGAGAGATTTCGCTTTCTCACGAAAGTTCAAAAAAAATTCCAAGTAAAATGCATGTCCAAACACAAATTCAAGTTCCAAAAATCATTACTTCAATAACTCAAATTTTCAAGTTTCAACTTCAAAATCTATGGTCAAACGGGAGCTTAGAGTGCATGCATGATTAACTGAAGCCCCCCTTTCAAAAAAGGGCTAATTCAAAACTAAAGGTGTTGCAAATGCTAGTTCATTTAAACAAATATCTCCACCTCTTCTCAAAGACTCAAACTGAAGGATAAAAGTTGTGGTCACACAAATGAAAGAAACATACTAACTGCATGAAACCGTGAGCCCTTAGATCTTGCAGTTGCAGTAAGAAATGGCAGCATGCAATTCAGGCCAAAATCTGGCAGGAATGAAGTCTTAAAAGAATAAAACAAGTGACTACCAAACAAAATCAATCACAAGAAAAGCAATGAATCCGGGGGGATGAAAAATCCAAGAGCAGAAGACGATTTCTGATTTCTGACTATGTTGCTCGGACTCTTCAAAAGTGCCAACCGGTGCCAACCGGTGCACGACGGATCCTCCAAAGTTAGTAGATTTTTAGAGGATCCAGACATAAGTGGGACAACATTTTTGGAGAGTCCAAGCAACATAAGATTTCTAAGATCTGAGAACATTATCTTAACAACTAAGGCAACCAATATAAACATTTTCTTGTTTAATTACAGTAACACAGGTCAAATTATCTTGAAACACAATCAGAGCACAGAGACATGAGCCCACTATAATAAAAGACTTAAAACTGAAGCAAACATTAATAAACAAACTCTAAATGTCATCAATCAAATTCAAGAAAAGATAACATATTCTTTTTAGTATACCTCAGCTTCTGTGACCATCTGATCTACATAGCCCTTCAACTTAGTAACTCTGAGAGCTTCAGTAAAGAACCTGAACTGTTCCTGCCTAATTGTATAATCAACATCAAAAACCACACCAGGTCCAAAGGTAGGCACATTGAACTGATAAACCTCTTGTTGGCTAAGATCTGTTTCTGGGGCTTTGAAAAAATGTGCAGAAACTTCTGGACCAATGAAGAATGTGATGTTCTTGTTCAACAAATTCAGAGTAAACACACTCCCAAGCTTTGGATACTCCTGTCTAAGCATCACAATTGGCCCTTTAAGGAAACGAATCAACCCACCAACAATAGGCAATGCTTTGATCACTGGAGGCAAACGCTTCTTAGATCTGGGCATAATTAGTGCAGATATGAGCTTTGCTACCAAAAGGGTAGCAACTAACAGCAACCCCACATTCAGAATCTTGTTGTCACCTAACTCCATAGCTGAAAAAAAACCCCTGCAATTCAAGAAACTATTGAAACTTTAACATGGGAATCTTAACATCTCAGTTGTTGTTGACTATTGAACTTTCACCTCGTAATCTCATTCCCTACCCCTACCCCTACCCCTACATTCTTTTTCTCAGAAGATTGAAACTTTAACATAAAGATCTGAAATTCCAAACAAATCAAGAAACAAAAAGAGAGAGAGAGAGAAATAGTGAATCTTGTTGTCACTTAACTCCATAGCTTAAAAAAAACATGCAATTCAAGAAAAGATTGAAACTTTTAAAATGGGAAATCTTAATAACTCAGTTGATTAGCAATAAGAACTTTCACCTTGTTAGTGAGAGTTCGATTACCCCCCTTATAATCCCTCCCCCATTTCCATTTCCTTCACATACCCACAAATCTTTTTCTCAAAAGATTGAAACTTTAACATAAAGATCTGAGATTCTTAACAAATCAAGAAACAGAAAGAGAAAAAGAGGTACCTGAATGAAGAAAAATTAATGGAAATTTCTTTTTCAGGAGAGAATAATGATAGTCATAGTGGAGGCACACCTCATTTACTTGAGGGTTTTCTTTTTCTTTCACTCTCTTTTTTTAGCTTAGCTATATAGAGATTCAGTCCACCAGTCTAGTGGTAACTATATTGCACAGCTGTTTTTTATTATTTTTTTATTTTTTTGGTCTGACATGCACAAGAGTTTGTGTTGAGTATAGGATTCTTTGGTAAAACTTTATAGTAATTTTTTTTAATTCTTAAATTTCGTGTCCGGCGGGATTCATTTGAGTGTGACATTTCCAATATGATTTTTCTCCATATTAATCGTGTTCGGCAGGACTCATTTGGGTGTGACGTTTTCCAATATGATTTTCTCTATATTCATCATGTTCGGATGATTTTCTCCATATCCAACATGTCTGACATGACTCGTTCATTTGGGAGGGACGTTTTCAATATGATTTTCTTCATATTCAGGGCTTGAATTCGAAAATTTTGATGGAGAGTAAAACAATCTCATCACTGCACCGCAATCCATCTTGATATATTTCATCCCTTTATACTATGTGGTTTTTGTTGATTTGACATACTCCTTTTAAGTCATATACTCACTTTTACGTGGTCTTGTTGATTTGACATGCTCTTCCTCTCATATTACATGATATTTGTTGATTTGATATATTTTTAAAAAAAAAATTAATTAGATGTATATTTTATTAATAATGTTTTGAAACTCTAAATTTGATTACTCTTTTTGTTCACGTTTACTTGTTCATTTTGAATTTTACACATTTATTTAGAAATAATAATTGATTTGATTAGTTTATCACAATATCATATTACTTTGATGTTTAATCTTAGGAATTGAAAAATAATTTGGGGATTAAGAAGTTATCAAGGATAAACATGAAAAAAAAAATATTTTTTTATATGCTAAAAGTGACAAATAAAAATAAAAATGAATGGAGGGAGGTTCTATTTTATGTAGTTATTCAATACCTATAGATAGTATGAGAAAAAAGTAATAAAATATTATTGATTTACTATCTAGTATTAGTATAGGAGTAAAATAAACTAAATTTGAGGGAGTACTTTTACATAAATGAATATGGGCGACTTCAGGGTGTTGGGTGAAGCCTTTCGAAAATTCAATAACTTTTACTTGAATTTTGATTTTGTATTAAAATTTTTAGTACAAATACAAGAATTATGAATTGAGAACACATGTAAATAAAGTGTGTTGTTGATGTGGTGACAAAAAAACTTAGCTCATCAACTCTCTTGGCTGATTTACACAACTATATCATATATTTTTTTGTTATCGTTAATTGATTGATTGTTATGTATTATTTTCATTATTTAGCCTTCAAAGCGAGCAACAGATTGAGAGTTCGCATTCTTATTAGATAATATTTTTAAATTTTATTTTTCTATTATTGAAATTTGAACTTAAAATATCACAATTTTCGATTAACTTTATATTAGATCACATTTTTAGGCTAGTGTTTGAGCTAACTTATTTAAGAAAAAATAATATTTGTTTTCAAATAGCTATAAAATTGTAGGTACTAAACTGAAAGATTTCTCCCTAATTATAAAAAATAATTGTTTCGCTACTTACTCTATTTCTGACCTATCTAGACAAGTTACACCTTGTTCGGATGGTTGTTACCTGTTGTATTGTATTGTATTCTTAGTTTAAATATAATGTTTGTTTTGATTGTTACTTAAATTTTACTGTATCGTATCGTTTAAATCCATAGTTAGGTAACGACGAAAAGATCAATTTTATGTGACGACCGATTTTGTGTGATCGCGTTGTTACCTTAATACTTTCTTCTCATTTTATTTTTATTTATTATTTAATAATCATATTTCATCTTTTATCCTGCCTTTTTCATAATAGTTCTACCTCGTACCCAACTTTTCTTGTAGGTTTATCACTCAAATTTTGGATGTGTGTCATTATGTAACGACGGAGAACGATACAATCTAGACAAACATTATACTCGTTAAAACAATATTGTACGATACAATACAATGCGATACATTATGAAACAATACGTAACAACCATTCAAACAAAGTGTACCTCGTAAATCTTGATAGAATGGATAAGACCTCCTTTAGATAAAAAAGAACAAGAATATTATCCATATTTTTTTGGCATCCGTAGCAGAGGCGTATCCATGATTTCAAGATAATGGGTGCACTATTACAAAAAAGCGGATCTAGATATAAATTTGATTGGTTTGACATTTAGGTTTTTATCACTAAAAATCGTTAAAATTATAGTTTTAGAATTAATTCTTATCTATTGAAATTCTTACACGCCCACGCCCACGCACGCACGCGCGCTCACACACACCTAGTTTAATTATATTAAAATAATTGCAGTGCTAAAAAATTAGGAATTTCCAATGTGACAAACTTGAAAATTTTGAAGAAAAATAAACAAGATAGATATAAGATTCAAATTTATAACCTCACTTAGAGAGGTGCACCTAATCATCACTGTATTATATGGTACTTTGAGTGTTGGCTCACCCATCTATATTTAAATATTTTTTCTAAAATATAACGTTACTATATATAATTTCGGGAAGGGACATGTGTTCATGTGAATCTAATGACCCCTCTTGTATACGCCCCTGTAATTAGTAGGTTTTTAGACATTAGGTCTACACTGACTTTTGTATAGACGTACTCCCTCTGTCCCAATTTATGTGACACTTTTCGTTTTTCGTGAGTCAAACAATTTAAGTTTGACCGAAAATTTGCGTGTGGAATCTTCAATTTTTTTGAAATGAAATTTATATATTTGTAAACTACGTAAAAGGTACTATAAGTCACAGTAATTGGCAATTCAAAAATAATTAAAAGATATATGAAAAAATTACGATCAAAGATAGACTTGTTTGAGTTTTGAAATTCGAAAAGTGTGATATAAATTGAAACGTAGGGAGTAATTTTTTACTTGTGCTTCTTAAGTACTACAAAATATAAGTTTGGTATACCAAACTCCAAATCTTATACTCAGTTTGTTAAAAAAATAAAATTGCCACGCTACTCATTTCTTGTAAGTTATATTTTTTTAGGGAATTTTTTTTTAACCTAAAACAAGCTATGAATAATTACATGAAATCTATTTTATTAAAAAAAAATATATATATATTTTTTTAAATATAAAAAATATATTCTTTCGGAGATAAACTTATAAATAAAAAGTCACATAAAATGAGAGCTAAATTAATCAATCACACATATGCTAATAGTGTTTTTTGAACTGTAAAAATTGCAAGTGGTTTGATCATTTGATCAAGTTGGTCACTTGAATCATGCCCTTCCAAATAGGTGAATTTTTTTGCAAAAACTAATAATAATCTCGTGTAATTTTATAAATGAAGTTTGAAAATGACGATGTGTATATAATTTTGTGTAATTTTAGCGTATATAAATTTTATTTTTATTTTCAAAGGTAGAAAAATATTAGGACGGATCTAGGAAGTTGTCAAGGTATTTATCTGAATTGTTTCAGTTAATATTACACAATATATAAGGTAATTTCTTTTTTACATATAGATTTATAATTCTTTGGATACAAGATTAGAAGTTGACTTAATGAATAAGGGTAGGGGTGTCAAAATCAATCCATAAAATCATAACTCGTCCAATCCATTTAGTTTCATGGCATGTTATAATAACCACTTATTTTATTAATTCAATTCATTTTAACCCGCTTAATTCAACCCATTTTAAATCTGAATTGATATACAACCTAGATTAACTAGTGAGAAACTTCTAAAAAAAATTAGAAAGACATTTTCTATGGTCATAACAATACATGAAATTACTTTTTATTAGGTACTCAAACAAATTATCAGAAAAACACAATTTGATCAACGTCTATTTAACACCTTTAATTTATTTTTCCAACCTCTGAATAAATTTTTTGAATCCGCTACTAAAAAATCACACATGAATCATTCTTCAATTCTCATAAATGTAGATTGGATTTGAAAATAACTTTCTTTATTATAATGAATCTCTTCTATCGCTACCTACCATGTAATATTATTATTTTTTTAAAAATCAAAGTGGTGTACTAGTAACTAGAATTAAGAAATGATGATCACGTGAGAAAACCATGGGCCAATTCCTTTAGAACGCCAGAACGTGTATTTGGACTTTTGATAAATGACAAAATTCTTTGTGGTCGATAATATCTAGGGAAAACCCTACAACTATGACTTTATAATATTTTAATTTTTACTTTTTCTAGTCGGGCAAGTGTGACTTGCTATGCATCTCATATACATGTTAATTCATTTGGATATAATATGTATAGAATAAATCACATCTAAATTTGATATCATATATTTGAGATACATGCATATGAATATATCTGGAGATATCAGAATTTGGTAAGATACGTAATATAGCAAACTAGAGTATCTAAGTAATTAATTATTAAACTGGTGATATTTATGCAAGTTCCCCTTATTTATTCACTTTTAATTTTGCATGTTTCTTA